CCCCCCTCCCCTCCCCAAGATCTCTCCCTTGAGGTTTTTTTTTTGTTTTATCTTTAGGAGTTCGATTAAAGAGTAAGGAACTATGTGGCCTTATTGAGAAAGCAACCTGAATTTATTTAGGTTAGTATCAGTTTTTCGGGGCATTCGTGGTTATGGTTATGGTATTCGGTTTCAAAATGTTGAATATCGAACCCTTCAGATCGAAAGGGATAATAAAAAATTTCAGAGAAGGTTCAATAAACATCTAAATAACCCTTTGAAATAGTGCTGTACCGACATTTAACCTTTTTTTTCTATTTAACCTCCGAAGAGATATACCCTGAACCCTTTTTGCTAACAGCGTGGAATGGCTCCTACGCGCAGGCACTGCGGCGAGCACGTGGAGGTTCCTGCCGATGGTGGACCCCCTGGTGGACGTGTTCTTGAGTCGAGACCTGGACAGTCGGGTGTCGTGGCGGGAGGCGTTTGCCGTCAAGGAGTGGCTCTCGACTCCAGCCACCTATCATATCATGCGGGATCATCCTAAACACGACATCCCCATGCTTGGTCTGTTCTCGCCCTTTCCTTCTTCCCTATGTTCCATGTGATTGAATTCAGCGTTCTGTGCGAAATTTTCTCGAGCAGCAGGGACCTTTGGGATGAAATTAGGTGAGAGAGCCTCGATGGAAGTACTTTACGGAGAACTTCCGAAGCGCTTCTCGGGCGCCAGAAATAATAAGCTCCTGGATCAAGTGTACCTGACTGCAGTCATTTGGCCTCTGGCAGTCAGTTAGTCCCCTTCTTGGATATTTCTCCCTGTTCGCATCGTTTGTATGATCCAGGTGACAGGAACGTCGGGCCTTTCTCTTCTTGTAGACGACTCCGTCCAGCATGACAGTTACCATTGTTCCCAGTTCCCCGGATCACGGCCTTTTCCAACGAGACGAGAGTCGGGGAACGACAATTTCGTCGGCTCCAATCGGGCGTTCAAGACGGTTTCCAGGGTTTGCCCTCCGGAATGCCGACCGGCTCAGCACCAAGACTGGAGTATGTGTTAACACTAGAACTACCGGGGCAGTCACTTTGACTATTCGCCAATTTTTAATACAATTTACTCTGCTCGTTTGGCAACAAAGGGCCTCCGCGGTATTTATTTTTCTTATATAATATCAACATTTTGAGCATTTTAACATTTTTAACATGCCAAATAACATATGGAAAAACTAATAACGTGTTACAGAATAATAATTTGTCGCTACTTTTAATACAGCGGTCAAATTGACCGTTCCGGTAGTTCTAGTGTTAAAGCCAGCTCGACCTCGAAACAGAACTATGGTTCCCGAGAGCCCCAATCGAACAGCGTTAGTACATCTACCATTTATTCCGAAGACCGTAGGCGGTTGCATGACGAGGGATCTCAATCATGGATGAAGACAAGAGAAGAGCTTCATTACGGTGAAGGGATATTCGTGCCGTCTTGTAATGATCTCAGCTTGCCCTCGTCTCTGTAGCCCCACGAGTGAGGATATGGATGTGGAGTGAGAATCGCTCTCTAGGGACGAGTTATAAAACTTCGTCCTCCGTCATCTCCTGCACAATGAAGTAGATCATCTGTGTGTGGCATTGACGTCAAGAGTTTCTCTCGGCGAGAGGATTTTTTTTATTTATTCCAGAATAAAATTGGCGTTTGGCAGATGCGTGTTCTTGTCAGATACACAACCGGCCGATCAATAATCGACAGACGAATCCCACACGAAGAAAAGCGGAATTTCATTCGGCCGGAGCGAGGCAATGCCACCGCGGGACGACGCCAGTGGACGAGGACAGCATCTCCACGAAATGGCTCCTCTCCGGCTCGGGGACGTCGGCACCGATGACCACCTTCCCGATGGACTCCGACGACCCCAGCTTCCCCTCCGTCATCACGTGGATCTCCAGCTTTGTCTGCTGGACGGTGTCCCTCGACACTTTGAAGATCATGGCCTGGTTGAACACGGGGTTCATGCACAGCTTCTTGGTCGACGTTCGCTTCTTCTTCACCTTCACGTTCTCGTGGATCAGGACTACCTTCACGTAACAGCCTGGACACATCGCCCGTCACCCACGATTACATCGCCGGAAAAATCCGTGGAGGGTTTAAAAAGAATGTGTTGTGTTGGTTCATACCAGAAGCCGAGGAGTGATGATTGAGAAGATCCAAATCGCAAACTTTGAGGAGAGTGACGGTAAGTCTTTCGGCAGAGGGTAAGTAGGTGAGGGAAAGCATGATCTCACCACGGGAATCCTACATTCACGGATTCAAAATTTTCGAGCTGTTAAAGTCTCTCGTTTTCGTTCAAACCGCTGAAGTCATCGGGGGGTGGAATGTGAGAGTACTTACCTTGGTGCTATGAGTGAGAAAACGTTTCATGGTGAAGGCTCTACCCATATCGAGGGCCATGGAATCCAGGGGGATCTGGGCAGAGCCGACCGATTCGGTCTTGTGAGACGGTCCCAGGCTCCATAAGCTCAACTCCAACGTGTGCCCTTGTCCTAGCGAGGAGCCCTCCTTCGTCAGAGGAAACACGAATTCTTCGTCGAAAACTGCGGGGGGAAAAATCATTCGCGGACGATGAGGACGTCTTCCCGCGATCGAATGTCAACGAGATCCGACTTCCTCCTACGTGGTTCGGCGTCATCCTTCTTAACGCTGGTCGACCGAGTGGTCCTATCCGGGAGGAGTCTGAGCTTCACGAAGCAGTCTTGGCTCGGCGACGCGTGGTGGACCCGAAGAACCCGGACGTGGAGGGTTTCCGTCGGTCGCTGGTAGAACACGGTGACGGTGAGCCACGCCTCGTCCTTCCTCGCCTCGCTTTCCTTCGTGATCAGGGACAGAAAACAGACGCTGTCGTGTCAGGCATTCGTGTTACGAGGCACGTGAGCACGAATTGATGAGTTTCGATCTTGCGGTTCGCGGTGGGGCTCGATAGATGAAGTGGCCAAATATCTGTTTCCCCTAGAGAGTAATCTAAGTAATGTAATTATTTCCCTCTCAGGCAATTTTCTATAGGATTATATACCGTAATTGAAGTCGCGGGCGCTTCTCATTAATTATCAAAGCCCTAACTAGTCTGCAAAATTCATCTGTTGCTTGTATTTCGCTCGGGAGTGAATAGGAGGAAATCGGCGATGAACCGAACCATGCCCTGTAATTCATCAAATTAGCCTCTCTTTCATCGTAAAATGGGCCTGTCGTAAAATGGGTTGACTTAATGCAGGCGGGTCTCGATGCCCATCTTATACATCGAACATTTTTGGGCTGCTGACCCTTTTTTTTTACATTTACGTTGGAATCAAATTAAGATAATTCTTATCGATCCCCAGATACGAGGGTGAGTCAAATGAAAACGAGACATCGATGAATGCAGCGCATGAAGGGGAACCGTGCGCATTGTACCTCTAGCATTTGGTCGAATGGCAGCATCGTCAAAACCCACAATTTGAATGATGCTGCCATCCGTGGACATTGCACGCAACTTTAAAGATAGCAGCAGCAGTTATGGAGTGCACCAAGAAAGGCACGTGTTCAGCGATTTGTTTCTTGGTCACAGACGGCATAAATGGCAACAAATTTCCTCATAGATTGCAAGCAGAGCATGGAGAATATCGTCTTCCCAAAAGCAATGTTTATGAATGGGTTCATAAGCTTCGAATTGGGACAAGTGGCGCAAGTGCTATTGTGAAGTGACGCCAGTGGCAATCACGCATGTAGAGGACCGAGTCTGGCAAATTCGCCGCACGACCATCGATGGAATTGCCACCCGGATGGACATCAATCACAGTTCTGCCTACCACATACTGCATGAAGGGCGAGGTCTCAAGAAAGGGCGTTCGTGGTGGGGTTCCAACAACAGTTGACAAATGAAGTGAAGAACCATTGATTGGACGATGCGAAATCATAGAAATGCTGGGATTTGAGATTATTTCACGTCACCTGACCTCGCGCCAAGTGATTATCACCTATTTGGACCTCTTAAGAAACCCCTTGTTGTATGAGGAGTCAGTTCTGACTATGAGGTACAAGAGGTGGTGCAATCATGGCTTCAGGAGCAGCCGGAAACGTTCTTCTCTACTGGCATCGGACTTTTTAATCGGACGGTAGCAGAAATGCGTCGACAAACAGGGGTACTACGTAGGAAAATGATGTATTAATGACGGCCATGGGATGAATATTTAATGTAATTTCCCTTGAAGTCCCGTTTCATGTGACTCACCCTCGTAGTTGCATTGGTGTTCAAAAATAAAAACCTGGGCATAGCTTAACTATTCTAAAATCTCTCATGCGTTTTCAAAATTCTTGGCTTTTGCCTTGCTGGAAGGGGTAGTGAACAACTTTAGTCAGAAAGAACTTTCAAACCACTTTAAAATTGAATGTGAATACGCATGTTATTCACTATATTAATAAGGATACTTTTCAGAGACCTAATGCCAATGCATCAATTCTGAAAAATAATATACCAATGACGCCTCACGCAGGGGGTGACCAGTGGCGCGGCCAGAGTTTCGCCTAAGAGGAACAGAGGGAGGGCTAATAACTTCCCCTCGACCGGTGGGGATGGGGGGAGGGGGGTGGTGGTGGACGCATTAAGACCAGAGTTGGGGGGCTAGAACAAAACTTGCGGGAGCTGAAGCCCACCCCCCCCCCCCTCGCTGCGCCAATGGGGGCGACTTGGTACACCGCGGTGCGTTGGGCCGTGTAGGACAGGTGTTTCGGCTGCAAGTAATGAGATATAAACATTTCCAATTCTCTCTTTAGCTCTTCCAGCCCGCGCGACAGACAACATTGTCTAATAACGCTGTTGCGCCGCATCCCGACGCCTTGCGTTCGCCAGCGAAACTTCTCGTCGCCGGTTGCACACACGGGCGACAGGCTTGGAGAGGCTGTCGACGCGGCAAGCTTGTCAGCTCGTGCAATTCGAACAGGGGACACGACGATTTCCTTCTCTGTCTCTGTGGGGGCTCCGTTGTTTTCGATTAAATGCATTTAAATCTCCTGTGAGTCCTTTTAAATGAGCGAGAAGGTGGAAGAAAAACCCTTCAACAACCCCACAATATAACTAAACGTAATTCATCTTGCATTTAGCCACCCTACAAAGCTTGGAAACGCGTCCAAGTGCTAAAAAGTAAAAGTGTAACAAGTCATCCCATTTGTTGATTTTGGAGATAGCAAAATTTAATTGAAAATAATTTCCTCCAAGTAATACATGAAGAACTTTAGGAACGGCGGCCCTTCGTTGACGCACCGCCTGCATGCGTTTTAAATCGAAGAGGTTAAACGAGGCCGAAGCGAATTTTCTCGTTGCATCCTTGGGCACCCCTGTCTCTTCCAATCGACGTCTTCATTACTCAAATCCAGTTTCGAGAATGACGGGGAATGGAGAGAGGAATCGATAACTACGTCTCGGGACCCCACAGTCCAGGGATCGGAGGCGATAGGGATCGCTCACCAGGGTAACGTAGAGGGCCGGATTGCTTACGTGGGTGACGTAGAGGGCCGAGTCGATCATGCCGATGTCGAGGCTCGAGTGCATGGAGGGGATGCGGGGTCGGGACTCGAACGAGGTCCTACCTCTCTCCTCCTCGTCGGGGCCAGGAATGACATCCGACGCCGCACGGGCGAGGGACCCGGGGACTGACAGCTCCCCTGGCGGTCGAGCGAGGTTAGCTGACTGTTTCGCCGTGATGGAAAGGAGGGGGAAAAGCCGTACCAGCATCGGTGAAAGTGGCAGAATTCGAGCGCCGGGTCCGAATGGTGTCAGGAACCCAGAATCGGCAGTCTCCCTGCTCGCAATCTGCACCTTCGATCAGCAACGTCTTCCTGCAGACGAAATGCGCATTTACGAAAGCGTCTAAATGGGTCAGACCGCTCGAGTCGACCGTATCGATGCAGTTTCCGGACGGAATCCCGGAAGAGATTTGACTTCGTACGATTTCCGACCCACATCTAATCGAGCGGGAGCCCCTACAGGTGCTTCTGAATGGGTAATGCCATCGTCAGAGTCGCTCTGTGGATTCTTTTATGGATGAGGATTATGACGTGGCAGCTCGCAATTCCCGAAGGATCGCGGGGTAATTCACGCTCGATCGTGTCAGGCTTGCGCGCTGAGGGGCCTTAGACTCCAGAGCAGTAACCGTGATTAAAGCCTCTTTTTCCATAAGTGGCTCTGGAATGCAAATTTCCTTTCCTTGGGGATTCGAACGGGGTTTGGAAGAGACCCGGAGGAATTCCTCAATCTCGACGCACATACCAGAAGAGCAATATTTCCTGAGCTGAAGAGTGCAGCCATCAACATCACCGTAACCTCAACATAATACTGTATAACATAACGCTGCATGTTTCTACTACGCCACTGGACGTCCTAATGAGAAAATTTGATTGCAGCGATTTGAGTGGATTCATTTTCTTACCACCATTTTTTTTAAACAAGGAAATCACCGGAATGAGCGAACGACGCAATAGCAAACTCACTCGGTTTGGTCTTCGGCGACTTGGACGGCGTTCTCGAGGAGATTCTTCTCGAACCAATTGAGTCGAAATTTCTTCGCGAGAAGGACGTAAACGGAGAAGACGACGATCCCGACCGCCAGGGCGACGACGAACGGGAGCCCGAAGATCAGGAAGGCCGAGGCGACCATCCTCCTCCCGCCCGAACGGGAGCGAGGCTGCGGGGGGAATGGGGATGCCTGCTGGCTTCCGCAGAGTGGGTGTCGCCGTGGGAATCCCGAGGGGTTATCGGACTGGTTCGCTCTCCCGAGCAGAAACGTCGATATGTAGGGGGCCGTACGCTAGGCATGCGGGCGCTCTCGCTCTCTCTCTCTCTCTCTCTCTCTCTCTCTCTCTCTCTCTCTCGTTTGCACCGTCCGTCTGCATCCGAGCGCTCCTTCGTTTACTCTTCGTGCAGTCATCGGGGGAATTGCGCATTATCGCAAGGGCTGATTAACGGATCTTGGCGCGTACCTAGGGGCGCTTCGTTAGCGCCGATGGCTGCCGGGCAGCTGGGTATGGCGGAAAGACGAGACGTTTCGACGTCGATCGCCTCGTGCGCCAGCACGCTTTCTGCCTGGGGGGGGGGGGGGGGGGGGGCCGGGAACCGTGCCCTCGTGGTCTCGTCCCACTTGGGATGAAAGCGGCTCGAGATGGGTGGATAAGTAATTAATAATAATTATAAACACTGAATATGTACGGGAAAACACGCGGTTTCCTGAATTTACTGGTGCAATCATTCGCCAGTTCGTCTTCAAGTGGGTTTTCTACTGGGAGCGAATGGCCTCTGACGTCTCTAATGCACTCCCGTAATGGGACGTACATGAGGACCCATGAAACGAACTCTCGAACTTCTCCATAATTGGCTCCTAATTCGATGCTTATCTGCGGAATGTCTAAAAAGAAGAGAAAATTAATTTAAATAAATAAAAATAAATAAAAGATATAATATTGTTCAGCTTCGTTATTCGCGTCGAGCGATCGCGTTTGTCTTTTGAGGCTCGAGGAAACAACGAGGATTTTTGTCGTGATTGCCAAATAGTTTCGCGTCAGACTCGAGATGATGCCAGAACGAAATGGAATGAGACGGATGATACAGTCGTGCAAGAGAGCAAATTTTGCAACCGTTCCAGCAATTCCCGTTTTTTTTTTTTCTTTTAAAATAATTTTTTCCATCTCCCACGCAATTCCAGTCTTTCGATGCCAATGTCCCAGAAACGGCAGGTGGAAAGAGTTGGCAAAAAAAGATGCATCAGGTCCCGGAAGGCCGGATTTCGCCCGCGACGCGACACCGCGCCGTCACATGCCGAAGCGAAAGCCGCGAGCTCGCCGGTTTGCAGGGTCCCGGGTGGCAATCCGGAAAATTTCTTGGAACTCGATTCGTTTCAAGTCGAGACTCGGGGAAAGCAAAGACGTTGAGTCGAGACTCGATCAAAGACGTTGAGTCGAGACTCAAGCAAGATTGGAACCGTCCGCGGTCGTGCTTCAAGCATTGCAGTCCGCTGATTTAGGAGCAAGAAGCCTGCCTGATCATCGGATCGTAATGGAATACCACTTAATGGAATACTCCGCTTAATGGAATGCCACTGCCCGGTCTCGATTCACGGTACGATACAGCAGAGAGAGTTTCGCCCATCGGAAATGCTTCGGATTATATTAATAGAATGAATCTCGCTAGTCCCGAGAGCATATATATATATATATATATATATATATATATAATATAATATAACATATACTATACATAGGAATATGTACGCGTTTATGCATGACGTTCTTTGCAAAAAAAACACACACATTAAACAATGACCATGGCATTATTTTATAACTACAAAGGGCACCACGAAAGTAATGAGACAAAATATATTAATGCAATATATAACATATATTGCTTACATATAACTTACATACACATAACAAACATATAACATATACATCCATCGTGTTTTACAGTTGCACAAAATTTTCTGAAATTGATTTCGCCCAGCCTTCCGATTTTTCAATTCGGGGAAGGCAATGCTGGGTGCAAGAATATTTTAATATTAATTAATACTAATGATGTTATATTATATCATATTTTAAATATAATAATAATTTTTTTCATAGTTCTTCTGTGTGCGAGAAAATAGGGAGAAAAAGTTCTCGCGTTACAGAGTGCTCAAGAAACTAGAACAGCCAGCTTTCCCCATCTAGATTTTAATGCGAGCATTCATCGTGATGTTATTCATCGTGAGATGACAACGGAAAAGAACGGGCATGGACTTGTTCATGATTAATGCAACACCGTAAATTAGGCTCGGAAAAGGGGAGGGAAGGGACGAAAGTATCTGGGACGTCTTGTAGATGGAGAGGTTTTCATGCGTGGCACGAGTGGCGAAAATTGCCATTTTAATTGCCAGTTTAATTGCCACTGCTCCGGCTTGCACGGGCAAATGCTGCGGGTTCCAATGAAAGAGACGACGAACTGCGTCGGTTGCGATGTCCTTTTGTGACGCGTGAGTCACGCGTGACGCGAGTCGCACAGCGACGGTCTCCTTTCTCCACGTGGATTTGGCGAGGCAAGAGAGGAATGTTTGATGAGTGTTTGATGAATGTTTGATGAATGTTCGACGAGAACGAGACCGGTTACCTTCGCGAAAGGACACCGAGCCGACGCAGTTCGTGGTCTCTTTTATTGAAAGTCTTTTTTTTTGTTGGAACTCGCAGCATTTTCCCGGAGCAGTGGCAATTTAAATGGCAATTTTTGCGACTCCTGTCAAGCGTGAAAAATCGCTTCACCGACTCTTTTCGACAGCAATCATCGCGTGCCTTCATCCCTCAGATTTTCGGTTCTGAACTAAAGTATATATACTATTTTAAAGCATCAAAAGCACAAGATACGACCGTATTGGTTGCCTTAAATAGAAATAGCGATATTGCATGACATCGCCTCCAACAAAAAAAAACTCGGCAAATTGCATGCTTTACGACGCACTCTTTATGTCGACACCAACTATGCGATTCGTTTTTTTTTTTTTAATCTTGGCGAACCCATAAACGCGTTAACAACTTTGTTTTAATATATTTAGTCTCGTTCCTTTCGTCTCCAAGTGCGGAATGTGAATGTGCCTCCCAGGTATATATCTCCGGGTTTTGTTTTTCTTGCTGGTCGAGATAATACTTTTTTATCTTTATGGCACGATTGAAGGCACTGGTTTCCACTCCGTAAACTCTGGAGGGGGGAGGGGATGTCCGGGGAGGGGGCCGGGGGGCGGAGTGAAGGAATTTGCCCCCCCCCCCCTTCCGTCCTTACCGCCAATAGTTTCAGCAATAGATTATAGCGAGCATATATTAATGCTTATTTTCTCTTGCAATTTTAATAACTGCTTTTTCGTTTGCAACGCATGTGAAAGTCTTGAAATTATCCTCGATGGAAACATTTACTTCGAGCAACTGTTAGTCTCGGCACACAGCAGAGCAGAAACTGGGGGTCACCAAATTTGGCCTTTGCATTACCTTTTTTTCTCGGAAATGGGGAGTCTTAGAGTTCCAAGCAAAATTAAAATGGAAGAAATTAAGAAAAGAACCATACAATTAGGAAATTCGGAATTGAACTTTGTCTTGTGGTATTGCATTATTCTCATTAGCTATGATTTTAATCATGTTAAGTTTATACTACAAAAACCATATATTCTTGTTTCCTTTCCCATGCTAAGTTACCCGAAATTACTGCCAGTTTCCGATGAAACGGAACCAGTGTCGGCGGGGAAAGAGGGGGGGGGGGGGGGGGCGCCCTTCCCCTT